TTGATCTCCATGATTACAGAGATAATACTTACAGCATTTTACCACATATAAAATATTTAAGTATTTATTATTTTATTATCTTATAATGTATACTATTTCGGATGCCTTCAACTTGAAAATTTAGTTGTAAAAAAAAGAATAACTAACAATCGGAGTTTTTTTATTTGACAATCTACATAAGGATATTCTAAAGTTATATCGTAAAACTATATATCAAGAATTCATTTGCCCCGACCGTCTCTAATTTTGTGTAGTTTCTAGTGTTTTCAGACTTTTAGCATGACTAATCTCATGTTTATATACCCAAACTAATCTCAATAATTTTTTATCCAAAATATTGTTATTAATGATGAAGAATTAATTTAGAGTTGTTTCGTAATGAAATTAATTAGAGAATTACAATAATAATAAACTCAACAGTTGTAGTATTCATTCTATGTTCAAGTATGGTCTACCTATGAACATAAACTAAAACTAGAAAGTGTTCCATGTATACATTGTGCTCAATGATCTTATATCCAAAATGTGTATTGTTTCTATGAAAAAAAAACAATTTCAAGTTGTTTTCTATTGAAATTGTTTTGATAGTTACAAAAAAGGAGAAAACCACATGCAATTTTGAAACTATGATTAAGTATGACAAACTAGAATTTCCTTTAAATATATTTTGACGACTTTAATATAGTGCTTATATCCAAATCGATCTTATGATCTTATATCTAGAATGTTGTTGCTTGATTCTGAATAAATTTAAAATTGTTTTTAATAGAATTGTCTCTAAAGTACAAGAAAAACAAGTAAAACGATTGCAATATTCATAATACATTTAATAATATGGTCTAGCTATGAACATGAACTAAAACTATAAAGTGTTCTATTTGTAAATTTTGACAACTCTAACATTATGCTTATACTTAAACCGATCTCAATGATCTTATATCCAAAATGTGTATTGTTTTGATGAAAAAACAATTTCAATTTGTTTTCTATTGAAACTGTTTTGATAGTTACAAAAAAGGAGAAAAACACATGCAATTTTGAAATTATGATTTAGTATGACAAACTAAAATTTCCTTTCTATATATTTTGACGACTTTAACATTGTGCTTATATCCAAATCGATCTTATGATCTTATATCTAGAATATTGTTGTTTGATTCTGAATAAATTTAAAGTTGTTTTAAAAAAAAATTGTCTCGAAAGTACAAGAAAAACAAGCAAAACGATTGCAATATTCATAATACATTTAAGAGTATGGTCTAGCTATGAACATGAACTCAAACTATAAAGTGCTCTATTTGTACATTTTGACGACTCTAACATTATGTTTATACTCAAACCGATCTCAATGATCATATATCCAAAATGTGTATTGTTTTGATGTAAAATCAATTTCAAGTTGTTTTATATTGGAGTTTTATTGATAGTTATAAAAAAAAGAAGAAAAAACACATGCAATATTCAGACTA